GACCTAGTGAGGCAGATCCTCTGCCCGTTCGTCCAGTAGCCCCAGCCCCCGTACACTACGGCAGCTGAGGTGACGTGAGGATAACAGAGACGCCGGTGTACCGCCACTGCGTAACCTCGATAGTTCACCCTCACACGGCAGGGCAGCCCCACTAGGCTGCCTCCCCGTGTCGGAGTTTACTATCTCGTTAGGTTTGGGACCCAGCGCTCGGTCTCTCTGCGTAGACCTCACGCATTCTTTTCGTTCGCTTTTCACCATAGTGCCTGTGTGATAAACCAAACTTCTAGCGCAAGTATACTGCGTAAGTACAACACTAAACTGTCACCCGACCAGCATCCACAGAAAGATACTGAGGCTGAGGGAGCAGCTGCGAACTCAACCGAAACAACCGCGGAGGCCGAAGTTTGGCCACCGTGGAAAAACGCCGACAGGGATGAGCGAGGGCTACCGTTGCCTGACCAACCCAAAGGGAACTCGTACACTAGGAAGCGTTGCACGACTCCAGTGCGACCGAATAGTAGCGAATACAAGGAAGGTTACACCGCGGATCGCATTGTGATCATAGCTAAAGATTGGTTTATGCAGAAAGGCGGGAAGGTGCCTTCTGATGTATGCCTAAAGGTAAACGCATTTTTAAACAATTATAAAACCCCGTGAACTACCTGAATGTCGCATTTCCGGCAGCAGGAGTTTTCAAATTTTACTGATTCAAAGACTATCAAAACTATCAAATTTTACTAGAATTATATATCAGTGATGCAAACATGGTGCTGCTTTTGAAGTAGATAAACTTCAGTGCTTGGTCGATTACTCGGTTCATTCTGCGTCACCCACCAAAACTTGTTCTTTTTGGCTTTTTAACGAGGACGTTAAGAATCAAGTATGGGGGCTTTGTGGCGGGAGACTGGCCTAAGGTAACTCATATATAACTAACTTAGCTTGAAGTTGGCAGCGCAGTGGTCTTGTATCTACAACCTGGCTTTAAGACAGTCACAGCGAGCGACGAAGGATACATATCTGGATTTCTATGACGTTGCTCCTTTTCTTTCTTACTCACTTAACTCCAGCGATTGAGGACAGAGAGCCCGATCGCAGATTAGGCTGCCTACTTGAGTAGGGAGTCTACTAACTAGATTTTACCATACCCTAGCCAAGAGTCAGGCTGAGGGCTTGCAAGTTACCTCCATACCAGTAGGCTGCCCGTCGGCAACTAGCTGCAGGAGCGCTCTCGCGGCGTTATTCCCGCCGACGGCTGCCCCGTGGGGCGGCATGTGCCCCCGTAAGCCGTGCGCCCCGGCCGCGCCCCGCCAGCGCCGCGGGGCGCACGCACGTGACGCCGAACTCCCTACGCCAACACGACTACACGGACACGACGTCGTACTACTCGTGGCCTCGTCCCACAGCCCCTCGGCCCCGCAGGGCAAATTTTTTCGGAAAAGTCATCGAAATGATCGATTTACGGTCAATAAATGCGCGAATTCTCGCGCTGAGACGGGCCAGCACAGCCGCGGTCGCAAATGTGAGGGAAACTTCAGGATATGGCCCTCTCGATGAAACCTCTGAAAAGGCCATCCGCGCTGATGATGGAGCCCTGAAGTGGAAAAGCCGCCGTCGCACCGCGACATGTGCGATCCCGCGCCGCCGGCCAAGGCCGTGGACGGCGAGGTGCGGGACGCGTCGCCGGCGCGGACGGCCAAGGGCCCCGGCCGCGACGACACGCCCGGCGGCACGGGCGCCGCCGCGGCCAAGCTCCTGGCGACGAAGAGCACGAGTTTGCGCAAGCTCCAGTTCGGCGAGGAGCCCCCGCGGGCCGAGCTCGACCACCGCGTGCTGCTCCTCAACGGCATCAAGCTGTTCCAGGCGCTCGGGCGGCCCGAGGTCGAGTCGGCCGCGCGCGCGATGGAGAAGGGCGACTTCGAGCGGGGCGACGTGCTCATCGAGCAGGGCGAGGCGGGCGACGCGTGCTACATCGTCGACCGGGGCGTCGCCGACGTCTGGTCG